TTGAGAACTTAAAAATTTCCACATTCGCTCACAGTTTTCCTATTTCCTCAGGGCACACAGGAAAGCTGCTCTTTCTTTCTAACTGAATACAATCCTACTCCCACAAAATCAATCTTCTTGCTCAAGTATTGTCACGTCCCAAAACTAGAGATTGATGAAGGAACACCAAAAAATATTCAGATTTCCATGGATCTGATGGCTCCTGAAATTCTACTATTCAGTGCTCTTATGGCCCTTTATTTGCTTATGTCACAGGGTATAAACCTCTATATTCTCAACAGCATTAATTACCTAACATGTTAGTGACTCTGTTGGTCAAGTTCATTTATTTACCTTCAGTCACAATATTTTTGTTCTCTAACATCATAGTCTTAATATGTGATGTCCACTAAAATTCATTTGGGGCTTAAAAACAAAATAAAAGAGAACTTTGCCTGATTGAATTGTTTGCAGAGCATTTCAATTGCACCATCAAACAGAATTGTGACTGGTTACATAAATTGTTCTGGTTTCCAGGCCAATATTGCAACAACAAAAACTTTCATATGATATTGTAAGTAGGAGATTTTCCCTAGGTTATAAACTGTTTCACCACAATATGTAGGTGAAACAGGTTATAACAATTTTCTCCAATACAGAAAAGAGACCGGCCTTGTATATTTCCCAGCTATTCAAAGGAGAATTATTCACAAAGAGCAGGATTTGGATACCTCAGAAAAAAAAAAAAAAAAAAAAAAAAAAAAAAAAAAAAAAAAAAAAAAAAGATATTTCCTGGAATCAATCGAAATACCTTAGATACATCTCTGTTTTCTCTGATTTATTTCAAATAAAGACCTGATCCTTGATAATCAAGAATTTAATAGGGCTCACATTTCAAAAAGAAGGACAACATATTTCACTGACACTGTAACACTGCTTCTTTTTGTGCAGGGAAAACCAACATAAACCGGGAGTCAAAAAAACTCAGATTCATTTTCATAGCATTTGTAATAGCTGAAGTGAAGTTAATAGGCTTGGGAAAAAATAGAATTGACCTTTCAAAGAAAAAGATTACCTTTGCTTATTGTCTGATCATGAAAACCATGAAAAACTTTACAAGCTCCACTCTACAAATATTTATGATTTGCATGCAAATACAAAGTGAAGTCAGACTTGGAAAACAAATTATGAGTCTGAACTCTGCAATATTAAGAAACAATGTCACAGGAAATTTCACAGGGAGAACCAGGTTATTATTGCAATGGAAGAAAGCAGAATTCAAACTATTTCTGCAGTGACCATTATAAAATTAAAAATCACAGGTTGGGTTTTCCTTGGTGGCACAAGGAGAACAGTATAAGGTATTTAAGAGATATTCAGTGAATCTGTATGAAATAGAGTACATAGTACAGTAAAAAACAGAGTATAAAATCCTACCCTAAATCCAACACACAAGTTGCAACTGGGACCTCTCTGTATTGGCTCCTTTCATTCATTTTATGTGTTTAGATCATAAATTCCTTAGGGGACGCAGCATATGCCTCTTTGGACACATGCTGCATACAGTGGAGCCACTGTCTCATATCAAGCCCCATCTGTTATTGTGATTTGTATTCCAAAACAGGGCTTGAAATGCTAATTACAAATAACGTTGATCAGCATTCATATTTCTGCTAGAATTAGATCCTATGAAAGTGGGGCACTAAATTCTGTACTCACACTTATGCAGTGCACACAGGAATCAGTGACAATTTTGTATCAGCAGTCAGGATGTGCTGTCCTTCAGGGATGTGTGTAGAGAAGTATGTGCATGTCCAAAATCAATTTCATAACTGATTACGCCAAATTGAATCCAATCACTGTCTTTCCTCCTGTTCTAAAAAAAAGCAGCTCTTCTCCTGCCTCCTCTTTTTACTGGGAAAAGGGCCAGGCCTGCTGGATGCACAGTGGTCTGTGGGAATGTGCCATTTCAAATCCCAGCTGAAAGGGGCACGGCCAGGTTGGCACATCAGTGCAAGGACAGGCGGTGCTGGGGACTGGAAGGACACAGGCAGAGTACATGCACCAAGCAGGGAGCTTTAGCTTGACACTTTAACAGCAGATGAAGCTGTGGCCTTGGACTAAGCCTCCATTTCCATTTTTACACCTTTAATGATGAGACAAACACCTTGCAGCATGTACTGCCATTCATTTATTGAACCTTACCCACCCCCCACGTATTTATGGGCTACACAGCCACAGAAGGATTACAGAGGTCATCCAGTGTGTTCTCTGTATTTCATTTTCCACCTCTGTATTTCATTTCACCTCTGTATTTTCATTTAAGTTTCAAGAGAAGTCAGAGGAAAGGGAAAGACCCCTTTATTTCAAATTCTTTAAGAAAGAAAGACCACAGACTGTGTGGTAGATTGTCTAAGAGCTAAATTATAAAAAGACAGAGGAAAAGGCTTCTTTGCTTCTGGCTTGAACTTACTTGGCTTCAACTTTCAAATACACACTTCTGAGGTACTGAAAATCCTTTATCAAAGCTGTATTTTCCAAAGAGATAATTATAGAGCTCATAGTCATTAATATTATCCTCCTTAAGTCCAGCTGGGTTACTTCTTTGATCTATGACTTTGGTGCATATTTTCCATTCTTTTGGACACAATAAATTCAAAACTCCGGAAAGTCTATGTCCCAGTTACAAGATCTATCATTGGATAGAAAACATTTTGGATCCATGCAGGCTCAGAATGATCTCACATTTAACAATCTTCCTTATCCATATGAGGTACGTTTGCATTTTAGCAAAATAAGAACCATATGATTGAGGAGCTACATACTAAAGTTAATAAAATTAAAATTAAAAAAAAATAAGAGCAGCACTTTATGTATTCTTTTAATGATCATTGTGGTAATATTATTGCTTGAACAGTTTTTCCATCTTCTGTGGAAAAAAATCATCCCCTAAAGATACTCTTTATTCAACAGAAATAGTGACTAAGGTGCAGTTGATATAAAAAAAAAAACCTGACCCAAAAATTCAAAATATTCATCCCGTGACTAAAGAAAATAATTTTTATGTTTATGCATAATTTATGTTGTTGCGTGATGGGATATAATTTTAAAAGTTATCACATATAAGTAACATTTTCAATTTAAGACTATGTTCTATGTTGCTCTACCTCAATTTCTTCAATTCACTCTTTCCTTCTCTTTCTGTGTGCAAAACACTGCTGTATTATTTAACAACTATTCAATAATTTAATCACTGCCAGTTTTGTTCCCTATTCACCTAATTTGGTGGAAAGCACAAGCCAAGCTTTTGGGAACTCAAAGCAGGAGGACCATGGGGCAAATATAGCAGCATATTTTATAGGTCAAGGACATATTCAGTATTTCAGAACATTTATTCAAGATTCATCAAAAACTCTCCCATGAGCAATACACAAAGTTCTTTCTTTGGCAAGTACAAAGGAAAGCACATAACTGTATTTATTCTCATTCTTTTTATCTTCCACATAGAGTCTGTCAGCACACCAGTAGGAAGTGAATATAGATTTTCATATGGTTGTCACTATTACTGAGTTAGACCACATTTCAGAGAATATTCCAGCAACACGTCAGTTTAACCACCTGCAGCTGAATTAAGAATATAAAGCTATCTTATACAAACACTGCATAAATTTCAGGTGTCAACTGCATCAACATTATTGAGCTTTTTTTCTGCTACTTTCTCTCATTTTCAATATCCTTTATCAAAAGTTATTTTGGGATCATTTCAAACATAAGTGAGTGGCTAACATTGGTAACCTTTGAACAAAGCATAGTCTTTGCAAGTCAGAAAGATGACCTTTAACTTGAAATATTTAAAGAAGAGAGGAAACTGCTTTGTCTTAATGCAAAACTATTAGAAAAAATAATATATAAATATTGCTATATTGCTCCAAAGTGGAAATCACAGAACAGGGAAATGGTAGACAGAGCCTCAATAAACTGCCTCAGTTCCAGGAAAGGTCAGGTCAGAGACTACATTAGACTAGACCTTCTCCTTTAGAACACAAAAAATGAAAGTACATAATTTCTTAACATACAGCAATTCCCTGTGAACCAAGTGACTGTATCTAATTCTGTTTGGGGCATGATTGCTATATAGGTTTTCACCTGCGTGTGTTTTTAAGCAACAGCTATGAATATGCAAGAAGAAAGTATTTACTACATAATTACCTATAGTAAAAATTATTAATTAATTACCCAGAAAATGTTATCTCTGACTTCAACCACTACAGAGAAGTTCTGTAGTCTATGTCGGGAAATGAAGCAGAAAATACTTGCTCAAATACTTAAATAATTATTAAAAAGGGAAAAAGAATAAGAACTCTGTAGAAACCCAGCTTCCTATAAGCATGGTCAGGAATTGCATTGCACCATTCCCTTTTGATTTCACCATTCCACCTAATTACATCTCCTTCTCCCACAATAACTGACTTTCTCCATTGTCATACTGCAATCTTTCTTTACTCGACTTACTTTTGTAACAAAATACAAAAGTTGTATTTTGGGGAGACAAAATGGGAAAATAGGCTCAGTTTGTCTTCTGTGACAGGAAAAAAACTGGAAGAAAAAAGGGGAAGTGGGAAATAAAGAACTACAAAATATTCAGATTTTTTAAACTTAAAATATCTTTAAGCTCTGCTGTATTTTGAAGATTACTAGACAGAATCCAAATATTCTGAAGAAGGGCTATATGTAGCCATAATAATCAAGATAATATTGAAACCATTAGTAGGAATTATGTATTATGTAAGGTACAAAGATGATTGCCTTTCAGCATTTGATTGCTTTTTTCTTTTTTCTTCTTTTTTTAATTTAAAATTTAGAATGTCCATATCTCTCTTACTGCCTTAGAAAATAGCAATTCCTTCTAATTTCAGAGGAATCTAGAATTAATCTGTCTGTAAATTAATTTTCTGCTCACAAGAAGAAGATTAGGCAGACAATGCATATTTAGATATTTTATAAATTAGAGGTAGATTTACCTTGTCACCTTCAGAGAAAGTCATTCCATCAATGGCCCTTTTCCAAGTAATCTCTGGAACAGGTTCTCCTTCTGCTTCACAGATGAGGGTTGCTTTCCCATTCTCAAATGTGGTTTCATTTTTAAGTTGTATTATTTGAGGCTGCACTGTTAAAAATACAAATTGCATTACTGATCCTGCACAAATTATGTAATATCAAAATCTATCTTTAAAACCACCTTCTTTTTTGGTCAAACAATTTTTTTTTTTTTTTGGGGATTAACTAAAGTTTTAATGTTACTATTTATAAAAGCAGTTAACTTTTCTGACCTCAAGTTGCACAGCAACCATTTCTGTGTGCCCCATGAGCTGGACATCCTGCTTTCTTGGTAGGGTAGAGTGGGATGGGTCCTGGCTGGTCTGGCTTGGTGGCTGTGTTTATGGGGTTTTTCCCCACTTAGGAACAAGCTGCCCAGGAACCTGTGGAGTCTCTCTCTCTGGAGATAACCAAAACCAGCTAGATTTGTCATGAGATATCTACTCTGTCTGACTCTGGACTAGATGGTCTCCAGAGGTGCTTTCCTATCTCAGGCATTCTGTGATTCTATAATAACTGGTGTTTGTCTTCAAGTGCACATTATTCAGAAAAAAAATTTGGGAAGTATTACCATTCCTTGACTTTGATCTTTAAAAATGTTTCACTGGCTTATGCGAATTACAGAATTTAACAAAATCTCCCAGCAACAAACACATTTCACTGGTATTAACACTATGGAGTCCTCTGATACAAATGTGTTCATCCTTACTTACCAAGTAAACTGGTGGTAAGATACATTTTAAAAAAATCCAGATATTTTTTGCATTCTTCAAATCATTCCACTTTATAGCCTTAATTACATATCAGCTACATCTTTCAGTCTATACTGTACCTCATCAGGTTATTTATACAAACAACACAATTTCTGATTACATGTGAATACTTTTAAATTGAGGATTTATCAGAACAATATCACACAAGAACTCTGTATTAGTACGGTCCATAGAATATTACTCTCTTCCATGACATCAAGTATCTTTGTCAAATTTGTTTGGTAATATATTTCACCTCATATATAATGATTAATAAGTTTCTCTGAACCTATTCCCCTTCTACATTGAAGAAATGTACACACTCATCCCTCTAGAAAACCCAACATGTAATCCTGTAATAAGAATATGGTTCAATATGTTTACACACAAAAGCAGTGAATAAAGTTTACATGAGTGAATCAAAATTGGGCAGCTCTTAAGATTAACTTCATCAACTTTAAATACATTTGTTGAAAGTAATGTATTTTCTAAGCAGTTTCTCTGAGCATCACTTTTGAGGAAGCACTACTATAGTGTATTCCTTATGAAACAGATAATAAAGAGATGTAATCTGTCTTCTAATGGGGTTACTAAAGTGTGTGCTATGGAGAACAGTAATACTGGCTTATGTTCATGGATCAAAATGGGAAAGATATTAATTCAGCTTGGAATGGGCACCAGGAGAGCTTCTTGACCAGCCCTATCTTCAACACAACATCAACGGACCCTGTTCGGTCAGACTGCTCAGGGATTTGTCAAGCACTATATTGAAAAATGTCATGAAAGGAGTGTAGACAACCTCTCCCCAGCCTATTGCAATGCCTGGCTGTGAAGGGTATTTTCCTCGTGTCCAGTCTCCTGCTTCATTTTATGACTCCTCAGTTGTAAGTATTGTCTCACGGATGCCACATTCAGCATCACCAAGAAGAATAAGAAAAGCAGGTTCAAACTTGCTATGTGTAGGCATATCACTTACTTTTTATCCATTCCCTCCACACAATTCTTGCCCTCGCTTCTCATTCCTTTTCTCCATATTCCTTCTGTTGCTTCTCTACTGTCTGTTCACCCATGACTATTATGAATAAACTATTGTGTGTTTACTGCATAGAGATGAGAAACAAGTAGCATTTTACCTAAGAAAGCACTGAACTAATTATCCTGCTTCATTAATATATAATCTATGGTGAATGAGATCATGTGATGAAAGAAAACATCTTAAGTGATCAGGAATTTTTGAAATGTCAACTGGACGCAGATTTATTGGATGCAGTAGAAGGTAGCAAGCAAATCAGGCCATCAGTTTGGCCAAGAAAACACAAAATTCCTCTGTGGTACAAAAACGGATGTCAGTGGAAAGACCTAAAAACCCCAGCAGAATTAGAGACAAAATATAATTATGTTAAACTCAAAAATAATTATTACTCTCACTTTCAGGATCATTCAAATGCTCATGAAGTATTTCACCTTGGCACTCAAGTGCTCTGTTTCTATAGCCATATCACCTGGCTACAAAATAAACTGTTCTATCCTTTCATTACTTTGATATATCATCCTTGGAAAAAGGAAAGAGTTATAGCAGACATAAATTTTTTTTTTTTAGAGGGATCATACATAGTATTTCACACCAAAAATTCTCAAAATTTATAATTATTTCCATCAAAATGAGTTCCCCATCTGGACATCATGACAAACCATGTAATTTGCTCAAGATGATGCATGTTCCAAAACACAAAAATAATTCTTAACCTTAGACTTATTCTGAATTCCTTTAAGACCTTCTTCAAATGGATGACTACAAGACAAAAAGTTTTAGCTTGACATTTTAGACAAGAGTACCTGACATTTAAAGGAATAAGCACTGATTAATCATCAAATACATCTAGCTGACAGTTATTACTTGGAAGAAGAGAGCTTATATGGGGGATATTATTTAATTAATTCATTTTTGTAGGTCACAAGTCATAACTTACTATTGACTAGAAGTTTTTACACTGTTTGAATACTTTTCAATGACATTTTGGGTGTTGGAAAATATTAAAAGACATTTGTGTACATGTAAATAAAACTATTTGAAAATGCCAAAAATAGTATTGACAGAAATACTAGAACAGTCATTTCCCCCACCCTCCTGCCTCCAATTTTTTAACTGTTCTTTCTAAATTGATAAGGTCATCCTCAAACTGAGTTGGTATTTGCTTTTTTATTCTAGAAAATATGAAGCAAATAAAAATACAGAGCCTTGGAATGCAAATTCAGGAAGCCTTCAGAGTTTTGCTGCTTTCTTCAGACAAAAATATTGAAACATAGATATTGTGATGTAGTTGAAACATTTGTAAGCTAAATGTCCTGGCTCATATGAAAGAATGCTTGAATATAGAAAGGAGCTAAACTTCATTAAAATTATTTAAGGTAAGGAACTATTATTACTAGACATGCATTGCTAAATAGGAACAGAGTGATGATGCCAAATAAAGAAATAACATTTACTGATTGGAAAGTTTGTTTTCTGACCCAGGAAGGTTGGTTTTAAGTTTCCTAACACTTCCTCAGTAAACAAGTTTCCCTCAGATTCCTTCCCTGGACTATTCTGGATTTGTCACATTGCTGCGTACATACAGCCTCTCCATAAAGCTTATGATGAACATGGATAGCAGTCTGAGGCTTTTGCTTACAACCAGTTTCCTGGAAAAGGTACACAATTTATTGAATTCACAGACTTCTACCCATACCTTTAACAAACAGCTTCATCAAACCTGGAAAGCAGCACATATATAAAGCTTCAGATAGTCCTGCTTATGTTTTACCAACAGAATTATTTTTAAAAATTTGATATTGATACAAACTTGCTTGTACTGGTGAGAGGCCTAGTGTATGTCTGTATGGTTGCCTGATGAATCATTTGATTAATATATCCCAGGAGGAATCATCCCTTCCTGCTGTCCTCCTGCACAGACACATTTGAATCAGGTGGCAAAACTGCAACCCCATCCTCCTGGAAACTCTTGGTACAGTTTGAGCTTAGTAAACAAGCTAGAGCCCAGGAGGGAAATATCTAAGAAAGAGGTTTCAGAAATTTGATTCCTTATATGATAAGGATTCACACACATACCAGTATGAAATGCCGACCTGACTTAGCACACCAAGAACTGAGTCTCTCTCTTTGGATGGTATTATTGAAACATGTTCTGCTATTACACTCAGAAGGGTTTAAAACTTTTCTTCTCAGACAGCTGTCATCACTGTCCTTACAGATTGGTTATTTTCTATTTTAAAAAGTAGAGGTATTCCAAAAATGTGAGGAAGTAGTAAGGAGGATAAAGGAATGCAGAAAACACATGAACTTCTAGTGATGCCTCAGGTTTTAGCTTTTATATTTTTCAGATTCTGTGCTGCTTTATTATATAGTTCTGAGCTTCATATTAGGGGATGGTTCACAGAGTAGGGAGACAACACAATTCCTTCTCTAGATGGAGACCAAGGACAAATGATCCAAATTTCAGGTCCAAGAGCATAAACAACGATGGACTGAAGAAAGAAAAACAAGAAGGATGGGACTTCATATTCTAAAACTGTAACTGGACAATTAACTCCAGTTTGCTAATGGAGCAGAACTTACAAAATGAGAGACCTTGTGACTGGTTGTCTATTTTGTGACCATTTTGGGTTCATCTTGGGTGTAGCACTGCCTGGGCTCTTGCCCTGACCAAGGTGAATCCATTGAGACCCTCTAATAAATCCCTACTCTATTCCTTTACTCCCACCTAGTCTCTGTTCCAGGTCAACCTTCACGAGGCATCACTAACATTACATCTGTAAGTGTTGAGCTGTACTTTGTGAAGCTGCAGTTGGTGAACTTTATGATATCTGGGAGGATATGGAGCACAGACAGCTCCATGCACAGATCCATGACATCAGTGAATTTAAATGAAAAGCTTCCATGTATGTATAGAATAGCATCTCATGGCAAACAAAATGAACCACAAAAAGCACATTAAAACAAGTATAAATTTACTTACTAAGTCCAAAAGAAAATTATTAAGGCATGCTCCAGGCACTATATAAAGTAATGCAGCATTAAGACTGAAAATACAGGAAAAATTTAGATAACTTGTCACCCCAACCTCAGAAGCACAAACGGAGTTTTTGTTTGAAAGATTAATGGATTTTGAAGGACTAAATTAAAATAAAAGTTTTGAAATTTAGCATTTGGAATAAACACAGGAGGGATAAGTTAGGAGAGGTCCATTATATTTCCTCCTGTCTGGCAGATGACAAAAATATATTAATAACAGCATATAGTTTCTCAATAATCAATAAAAATTACATTTTGAATATAAAAAGCTGAAAAAATTTTTCCACTAAACAACATTCAGATTATAACTTAAAAGGTATCTAGAAAATAAAAATAGAAAATAAATGTGTTTAAACTATGCATTAATTACAAAGTGTCTTTTGTAATGCTTTTGGAGGTATTCCCTAATTTGATTTTCGTGAAGTCATTTGTCTGAACCCACTGAAAAGCCAATGAAATACTTTTACAATAAAATATTACTCAGACTGCCCTCTCACTGATTATGCAGGTAAAACACCTATATCATAAAGAACTTCAAATTAACTTATGCTACAACTCCCTTAAAATTTTTATTTTTATTGATTCTGATTAAAGAAAGAATATTTTTCTTTCCAGGAAAATAAATTATTAAACATATAGATGTAGCTTTCTGTGACCTAAGTACAGAAAAGAGAATACTTGCTGAAAATCTCAACACTAAGTATCATAAAATTGTATAACCTATATTTGAGTGATAAAGAAGTAGAAATAAGCAACTAGAGCAAACAAAATGAAAATCCTAGGAGTATAAACACTATTCATATTAAGCACACGTCTTTAATTAAAGCCAATTTTCTTTCATTTAGTCTGATTACATTTTTTATTCTAACACAAATGAAGACTACTGCCACCACCTTGGAGAAGGAATGATGAAGAAATGAATGTTTACTTTGGAGGAAGTAAGAAGATGTAGAAAGTTTCAATGTATTGTATTCATTGACTGTTCTTAAATCGACTGCTTGTTCTTATGTTATTTTTGGAAATTTTTTTATGTTGTCCATAGATGTAAAAATGTGCTATTTCATAATTAAAAATGATAATTCAGATGTATCTAAACACAGAAATTTCTAAATATAGCTACTTACTACTGGAATAAAAAAAAAAAAAAGAAAAATTAAAGTGAAACAGTATGAGTGAAAGTGATAGCTGCCAAATAGAGATAAATACAGAGAAGATTTTTAAAGAATTCAAGGATGAATACCTATGGTTTCAAGCTGTTCAGTAGTAAACAGAAATTAATTTGAATTAAAAACCTAGCACAAGTCTAAGTATTAATAGATAGGATCTTTTAGGTAGTAATTGCTAATGATACAGAAAAAAAGCTATGGCAGCTAGGAGGACAGACAGAGATAAGCAAATCATATAAACAAAGACTTAGAGAAACAGGTTTTTTTCTCTCTTTTTTGAACAAAGCACTGATACAGATGAACTGGGGAATGCAGGATATGTGCCTATAGGTTTTGACACATATATCAGAGCTGCAAAAATACTGTCAGAGTAAGCATTTTATATCAGAATAAAACAGGGTTTTTAGCATTGATACTGAAAAAAACCCCCAAAGTTAAACTAAAGAATCTAGGTCATGCATGATAATGAAATATGTAGGTATTACATGACACTGAAATGAGCATGTATATACAAAAGTCCTGTGTTCTAGAAAGTTTAAGTAGTGATTTCTATGTTTCTATTGTTTTTATTGCATTATGGTTATAGTACTGTTATTATGAGTTTTAACACTGCCAGAGCCATGTTGTAAAAACAGGAGTCATTGCTCTAAGGAGTTTGCATTGTAAATTAAAATTAAAGATAGCAGACATGTGAGACAAATAAGCCAATGAAGTGGGAGAGAAAAATACAATTTAATAGGTCAATTTAACGCAAATAAGTTGTTTGTGTACTATTTAGCTATAATAAGCAGCCATTTGCCTTCCCATTTTCAGACTGACTTTTTTTGACACATTTAATGGAAAAAAGATAAGTAGTTGTTGGCTGTATATATGACTGTATATAATCTGTGTGAAAGAGACAAAAGTGTAGTTTATTGTAGGAGACATAAAAATCCTGTTCCATTACAAATTAGCTATAACCTCTTAGGGCAGAGATGTGGGAGGTACTCTAGAGAATTCTGTGGAAAATTAAACATAAGAAATAATTTTCACTGCAAGAAAGAAAATATGTAAGAAATTTAGGAGTTCAGGATGCCATGGAAACATTAGGGATGTGTAGGTTCATAATGGATTTAACCAACTCATTGTATCCATTAAAACAGTAGAATTTCACTTTCCATGGAGCCATGGAGTCCCCAGAAAAGTGGTTGCTAAAAGATGAAAAATATATACAGAAAATCCTCACTCTTAGTCTGGTGTCTCCTTTTCCCTATCCCTTTCATTAAAAAGTTTCTTTGCTCTAGGCAAGGAAGTAAACCAAGTAAATTTTGGGAACACTTAATATTACTTGTTTAACACACACAGTTATTTCTGAATGAAATTTCTCTAAATTAATATCAAAATTAGAAAGTAATTTCTATTCCTTCCATTTATTTTTCTTAACATTTGGAAATAGAGTTGAATGAAATATTTCAGTTTTCCAAACCACAATGCTGTACTTCTTGAGGCTGGGATAAAATTTAGGATTTTATTTCACCTCCTTTCCTTTGAAAAGAAATTGAGAATAACTCTCAAGTACCTCAGAACAACAGCCCAATGGTTAGGCAATCCACCTGGAGTACAGAGCTGGAGACACCACAGCATAAGGTTCTCAAAGAGGAGGCAGTGGGATGAACAGCCAAGTTCACCTGACACCAAGACTTCAGCCTCAGCCTCCCAGGCCCCAAATGCCAGCATTTTACAACCCAACATCTACCCTCTTCAATGTCATTTATCAGATTACTCTCTCCCATCAGAACTCTTTCACCTTCATAAATTATTTTTAGTTTTAGCTAGAAATTAATTTAAACACTAAATACTTCATTTTTTTTTAACTGAGTATTAATTTCCTCTGTCCTAAGTATGGCATTTACCAGTTCAAATAGAAATTATCTTTCTTTATAATACAAGCTATATTTAATGTAAAAAACCCCAACACATTCATTTTTGTAGGTTTTTCATAAGTAAGTTACAGCCTTTTTGTTTTGCACAGTGATTCTGAGGGATTTTTTCTACATTCTCATGAATACCCACTCTCACTAGGTAATAACAAAACTTCAAATAAATTATCAGTTGTAAAGGAGGGAATCATTAGCACAGTTGGGGGGTGGAACATAGAGAAATAAGGGTTTTGAGGTTATTACTTTTATCCTTGAAGCTCAGCACACACAACATTTTTGTGACTACATCTGCAATTGTACACTTAAAAAACAGACGTCAAGAAAGATAAATTGAAAAATAAAATTAGGAAGATCTCTGCATGGCATTGCCTTACTAAAAACCCTCACTGCTAAGAAGTCAAGATAATCTGCTTTTCCCCCTTTCAGAACGTCCCCCTTTCTCCTCTTGGTTTCCTTGCAAGCAGTCAACTTCTAAACTAAAACCAGAGTGAATTAATTATTTAACTACATTGTACACTGCATGTGAATAGCAGAAAAGCAAATGCTGAAGATAGCCTTTTCAAAATGAAATTCAGATGTAAAGGTTTAAGCAGCCAACAGGGACAAAAGAAGTTGTAAAATCATACAGAAAGCACTTTGCTGCATCAGTAGGTGCCTTGCAGAAATACTATTAAACTGAAAATTGTGAATTAACACCTATTTCCTTACTGTTTACATTTTTAAAGGAAAGATGGACCTATTATGCAGTACTTACCAAAAACTTGAAGGACTGTCTGCTTTTTGTCATTTCCTGCTTTGTTTTTAGCATTACAGATATAAGGACCCGCATCAATATTTTTTATATCTCTTATTGTTAGTTGTGTATTGCTTCCTCTCAGGACATATTTTTCATTTTCTTCAATAAGTTTGCCATTCCTAAAAAAAAAAAAAAAAATATATATATATATGTAAATCGGCCACTAAGTTCCAGTAACAATGTGCTATAGAAGCACCAATAGGCTGAAAATAATATTTGAGGGAAGAGACTACTATTACACCAGCCTCAAAAAAATCACAATTTAATTGTCAGGTTAAAAGATATATATGTGCATAACACCTTTATTCTTAAATGTTCAATATTGACCTAATGTTATAAAAATGGTTGCGAATAGGATTCTTACATATGACTTACACTCAAGGGAGGGCATTAAGAAATTACATATTGTATGCAAGAAACTATTAAAAGCATATTTCTCAACTGCAACTGCTGCAGTTCACAATAGTAACAATGTAGCAACTTATAAAAAACAATTAAATTACATTCACATAGAGCCTATTGGAACATCAATAACCCATCCAAATTATTTCCTCTCAGTTGTTGTTGGCCAGCCACAACTTAGCAAGCAGGCAGGTCTCCAGATGTTAGAATGAGTTGTGACCAGATGGTACAAAAATAATAAAATCTGCAAGCAATTCTGAGGGCTGATTGAGGCTTGACCGGTCCATTTGAGCACCTTGGCCTACACACAGCTGTTTTTTCAAGAGAGCATTACTCAAACATTCTATTCTATTCAACATTCCTAGTTTAGGACATCAACTTTTTTTCAAGATTTGAACCAAAATTATTTCCAATTTATTCTCATGTAATGATAACTACATATATTTCGTATTTTCCTAAATAATATTTTCTCTAAAAGTGGGGATACTGCTTTTTTCTTGGGAGAATCATAACTGTTAGTAGGAGTACCCTGATATCTATATAGTTTGCCCTTAGTACTAACACTTTTTTGTAAATAATTATAATCCACTTTGTTACCAACTTCAAGACATTATTGATACTTGTTCATTTCCTTTCCAAAGAAAATCACAGAAACTGTTTTACAGAATAAGAAAGACCAAATTTTCCATATTAGATAGTCTCACAGAAAACCAAACCTAACCAAAACCAGAACAAACAGAAAAAGCCACCCAAACCCACCACACAACAATAAACAACGAAACAAACAGCAACAAAAAATCCCGAACAACCAAAAACCCCTTAGTGATTTTTTTTAGGAGACAAAAGCATGTATTCAAGGTTAGAAGTAATTTCCAGGTACCTGCTTTCTCAAGCATTGATATCTATAGCAGCTTCTCAGCAGAAATGAGATTATGAGTACTTCCCTGGACCCTCTAGCAAGCAAAGAGATTCATATTGATGCTGATATTGGATAATAGGAAAACATGAATAGTATACTTAAAGTGGATTACTTCTTTTATAAGATAATTCTAAGTCCTGTCAGCAAAGACCAGGAAATTGATCCAGCTAAACTTTAGCAGTGTAAATCATCTCCACAGCTATAAACAATGTTTTCAGTAGGACTATTCACACGAGTAAAGATTTCCAGTTCATGACCTGTAGTTACATTAGGATCGTTATCTTTCACTCCTGGCTAATTAAATTCCATTAGTGTATTGTGTCTCTGAAGGTTATGCTTTACATCAATGTAATATCAGCTTCAACTGAGATACCAGTTCAATGGAGAATTAATTAGATTCTCTTAGTCCATGAAATATCAACAAAATATATACATACATGAAATAGAGCATCAAAACTAAACTTTGATGACCTTTCTTCTTGACAAGGTATTTAAAAGTGACTAATTTTTATAAGTGTACTAAAGGATTTTTGGAGAAAAATTGACATATTAGCTCAGATGCATCCGTTTTAAATTGATCAAAACTAAATATCATCAGCATCTGGAAATAAAAATGGTCAACATAAATAGTTCAACTTCACCACATTATCTGGTCTTAAAGAGCTAAAAGCTTGAGACTATTATTTTGTCCAGCATCTTGCTTACAGTGAACACACAAAGATATGAGTCCCTTCAATAATAGTGTCACTTCATTTAAAAAATACAGATATTTTTCATGGCCTATCAGAAGTTGATCTGTTAAAATAAGTTCATTGGAAGCTAAAAAGGAAACAAGGGTAGTAAAACCTGAGATAATTTACTTTTTAGTTGACTAAAATAGCAGTGGAGTACAAGACTACCTTTGAATAGATCCAGATTCTGCAGGCCTTAATAAAGAAACTTCTTTAGACTGAATGAGCGAATAACTGCTGTGAGAGCCCATTTTAAAAGGCAACAAACACAGAACAACATGGAAATGTGTCTAACACAAGTCTTCAGTCTTGAAGAACCACCTTGACAAGCATGGATATACTTTTTACACCATGAAGTCAAAATCCTGCAGCAGAATGGAGTAAAAAACCATTTACTGCCCTTTTCATCAGTGCTTTTCCACAGCTCTCCAGGAGACTGAATATATTTCAGAATGTTTTTCACTGAGACATCAGGAAAAGCTATAATTTTGACTTTCTGTTAGAATATCTAACACCATCTCTCTGAGGCCATTAGCTATACCTAGCTATACAGAGAATTCAGAAAACAGGCTTCCATTAAATCACTTTATCACATCTGCCCATTTTAAAAATGTTTAACCTGAGACAAATTAAATAAAATTACTGAACTCACATAGATAAAAGGTGAGATTGAGTTTAAAACTGAACAAAATTCCCTTAATTTGCAGCGACCTATAATTATAATCCTTACAAAATCAATAATAAAACTCTATCAGATTCATTTGTTTATTGAAACTGAAGCACAATAAAACTGAGCTTAGTACCAACTTACTTTCAACATCAAAAAGCACACTAAACAGGACAAAATAGGGAATAATTTGCTATTAATTCTGAAAAATATATTCAATCAACTCAGTGGATGACAAGCATATTAATATTAGATGTCACTTTAGACAAACTTCCCTAACACTCATTGACAATGCTTTCTATATCTTTCTCAAAATCAAGAAAAATTACGTTGATCAGGTTTTCCTATGCTCAGTCTTATTTCTAAAAACCCCTGTCTGAACTATTGTAGAAAACCAAGGTCTTTATCTTTACAAACTTTTTAGATAAGACCAAGGACAGAAGCAGAGACCAGCTGATTATGAAATCACGGACCTGAAAATGGACCTGAAAATTTTACTACAGATATTTCAGAAATGTGATGCAGAAATTTGAGACTGGAATACCATTTAGTATTGCTTGCTTTCTCTAAAAATAGAAGGAATTCTCTTCCTCCATTTTTTTCCCCCTGCTTCCATATCAATAATAAAATCTTGTCCCAAGGATAAATGTTCTTTTTGGTGTATCATTTTACAAAATCTCAGTGTCAGAAAATTAAAAAAAAAAAAAAAAAAAAAAAACAACCAAAAAAAAAATCCACCAAAAAAACCCCAAGAACATTTTCTACTGACAAGAATTTATACCCTAATCAGATGAAATTAAAAGAGAATCAAAAGAGAAAAAAAAATCAAAAGGGAAGGGAGGGACCTTAGCCAATACTCCTCATTATGAGATAGTTCCTGAGAGAAACAAAAGAGAAGTTTGCACATGTATGATTCAATATCCATTCCACAAGCCTGAAAATCTTCTTGAAAATCATTATAAAATATATTTAATGAATGGTTTAAAAATTTAGCTCCACAAGGGCTGTCTGTGTACATTGATCAGAGTCTTCAGTGTGGAATCTGATCAGGGTACACAGAAATAAGTGTCTCCCCATGACACTTGGCCTGTGTGCACACTATGATATTTATAAAGCATCGAAAAAAATCCCACAACTGTTAATGGAGATATCCACAAATGGTGGAAATTTATGTAATCTTTCTTAATATATACCATGATGCTTGTTGTCACACACCAAAGCCATTTAGGATGGCAGATTTCAGGCAACACATGATTTTTTGGTCAGATAGGAGAGACATTTAAAAAAGTACTTCAAAGACATCAAATAAAAATAATATGATTTGAATTTAATATCAGTTCTTTGATATACATACTTTGGGTTTATTTTTCCTCCTCTTTCCTAAATTTTGAATTCTAAGCCACATTAAGGAATTAACTTTGCATTCTATTTATTTACATTTCCTGAAATTCAAATTGCATGAGAGAAAAATTCTACTTCACAACTGACCTATGGCATAACAAGATTAAGATATAAAAGGAGAGAAACTTAATCTAACATCATTCAAATGTTTCAAAGGAGATGAAGAACTGATGAAAATCACTTCTATGCCCATTTTGAAAATGGGATGACCTTTTAATCTGCTTGAAATAATATAAGTAAATGCAAATTATTCAGGTCTAAAATAGAAATGTGCACTGGGTTTAAGGTGTTGCGATACTTTACATTCCAGGAATGATGCATATCTTTGTTGAAATTGAAAGAACACAGAGTAAATAGATATTGAAATTTTTACAAATGTTATATGGTAAGTGTTCCCAAATGACATAGCTCTACTATGCTTATGCCATTGATATAATGAAAAAAACACACGAGATTTAAAAGCAATTCCATTTTCAAAGTATTTTATATTGATAAAATTATATCAAGTTTCACTGAAACTTATTCAGTGACACATTCCTGGGTCCTACAAGGGTCTATATTTGTACATCTTTCTGAGTCTCATTGAAACAGAGAGTTAAGGTTAAAATCTATTTTTACAAATGTGGAAAATGTGGCTTTTTATTAGTATTGTTGACCTTTGCTGGATACTTATTTACTGCATAAATGCGTATCTGTGCATTAATGTGCAGAAGTCATTGTTATGTTGTTTGTGTACTGTTTTTGAGATATGGACTTATTTCTTTTCCACTCACACATGAAGAAATAATGACAATATGGTATTTTTGTTACTTCTTACATTTACCTCACTTGCTGGCACCCTGAGTGCAATTGAATTTGTGTGAGTCTGTTCACACATTAATGCTTAATCCAGCCTTAGCAGTTAGAATAGAAATGGACAGAAAATTCTCTTAGAATTCAGTAGAGAAAGTAAGGTTGCACAGCTTAATGGACTGTGACAGAAAACTGGGACACATTAAAACAACGTACTCCGATGTGGAGACCTCGACTGAACTCACCTGTACCAAGTGATCTCAGGCGGAGGTGATCCAGTGGCTCTGCAGAACAAAGTTATTGCCTCTCCTCGATCTGCCGTGGCATTGAAGGATTTCTGTAGCAGAATGATTGCAGGTGGGACTGAAAAATAAAACATTATGTACAGTGAATGAAAAATAAAATATTTTAGGTGTTCCTGGAGAAATTTAAAATGCAGGATCCTTTGCTAATTTGGGAATTTAGGATTTAGGAATCAAGTTATCATTGTTAGTAGTATTTACTTTTCTTAAATACAGGATTTTTAATATTATCAAGAGATTTATAACATTTTTTTAATGGAATAAATTTTTGGAAGTCTTTTTCAGAAGTTCATCAATTTTCTTACACAACATTTTAAGATGACTGAAGTTACACCTAACATGTGTAAGACAATACACACATGAGACATAAAACTATGCCCTGATGTTAGACAGTGTTTCTAAAAGAGGGATCAGTATACAGGAGTCTTGATTATGCATATAAAATTCCTTTTACTGAGCTCCGGCATACTTCCCAGGCAGGAATATCACCAGCTTCCAAAGGGTTAATGTGATGCAATGGATGCACCAATGCAATGTGCACCCAATGGATGCAATCTATTTGCAATTCTAAGAATTTAATTTTGTTCTAATAGTGACAAATACTTTTTGTTCTTGATGGCATTAAGTTATTATTAAAAATAACATTTATAACATTAATAATAATGAAATAATAACATTTTAACGGTTATAAAATCATAACAGTTTGCAAAGAACCTCTATCCAACCAAAAACACAGCAATAATATTTGAGACAGAACAACTCACAGGCTGATATTTAACATATCTGTTTACATATCTTCTTCTATTAATTAACATGCAAATATGAAGTGTTCAAGGCCAGATTGGATGGAGGTCTGAGGTACTCGGTGCAGCACGTGTCCCTGCCCACGTCAGGTGCTTGAAACTAGATGGGTTTTTAAAGCCCCTCCAATCCAAACTATTCTATGAAACATACAAATATATAAAAACAATCCAAGCAGATGGGATGGAAGTTGATATGTGGAGAAGAATGAGCGCCACAGAAAATGAGAGGAAAGGGAAAAGATTAGAGCTTCACAAAATAGAGGTCAGCTAGCAGGAACATCCTGGGAGATGACACAGTGACTCAGTTATTCCTTTAATCTTTACTCTTTCCTAGTGAAAAGATGAAACAGGCAACCTCAATGAATTTGTTTTTAGTGTTCCATTGCACTCCACCAGATTTTTCTCACCCACTCTTGAAAACCAACTGTTGTGGCTCTCTACCAAATATTTCAGAAGCCTTTTCACTTCTGAATCTTAAATATATCAAATTAATATAAAATCATGTACCAGAATTATCAGTGATAAGTAATTGTGTGGTTTTATGTACTTTTCACACTTTTTAATGGTGTGTTTCATAGTGTTTCACAGATCACTTCTTTCCTATCTGAAATTGCATGGGCCATTACTCAGCACACAAAACCCCTCTGCTGTGCTATGGGAATTTATCCATCTCCAATAAAAAAACCCCTCACAACGCTACTTAGAAAGCTTTTAATGCATTTTAGCTATTTTGCAGTGCATTGTTATGTCTGGACCTTGAAAATAGCTGGGAACACAAGGAGATAATTCTTTGCTAGAAGTAGCAGGCTCTTCACTGTTCACCACTAAGCTGTGACCTGGTTCAGTGCATTACCTAAGCACTTCAATCTTCCAAGAGATACTGCAATGACGATGAAATGAAATATTATTTTCTCTTTAGAAAAGTAAAATTTTTGTTTGCTCATCATTTTTCAAGGAAAAAATCTGCTTTTATGCTTGTATGTACATAGGTTGGATCTAAAGTGTAAAGCTACAAGAGGAAAAGCAAAATGAAGGTATGCTGGCAAGTCTCTCTCATTTCATATTTAAAGTAGAGTGACAAAACTCAGTCTCGTATAACTGTGTAAATAGATCTCTTTTATTAACTCCAGTGAGATCAGGATGACTATTTAATTTATGGCACTTCTCAGATAGTAAAAAGTAAATCCAAGTAGTACATTTGGGAAAAATAATTTAAAAAGAAGAAAAAAATGAATAGAGAAAACCAAAGAGAGACAAAAGAACAAGTAAAAGAAACTTTTGGTTACAGGAGTTGAATTCTTTCATTCTCCTCTATATCAACTAATTGTAATCACAGAAAATCGTGGCATTCAGATCTCACTGTAAATACAACTAGAAAAGTAATGCTACAAAAATTTTAGTGTCGAAAGTAGAAAAGACACACAAACATTAAATTTCTAAGAGATAATCCAGCTGTCAATTTCTTACCCACTATCACCCTCCAAGGATTTCCATACATTAGAAATTACCTTGATATCAACATTTGTTCCAAGATTTAATTATTTTTGAGTAAATTTGCAAACTGTTCATAAGCAAGCTTTAATTTAAAAAAATGAACTACTATAATTAACACAGTATGCCAGATTTCATAAAGTACCCCTAAGTTCCTTTGTTACAGTTTATCCTGCTTTGAAGTCTTTACATACTTCTATCCTGGTTTAGTTGAAACCAGGACAATTTTTTCACTGGATTCAATGCTCCTTGTGGGTCCCTTCCAATTAACCTTATTCTGTGATTCCTATTATAGAAATTTTGTTAGCATAGATCTTACATATTGCTGTAGATTCTACAACGACTATAACAAGATGAGTAAATAAACAGTAAAGCTCTAAAGCTGAATAACTTTTATATACAAATAATTTCATGATAATATTTTCTTTTTTATTGCAATCTTAGATTATCCTCCAAAGTAAGCATTTCTTATTTCTCTTTTGGAAAAGGAGATGCAATGGAAATATGGCCATGTAGCTTTTGGTGGCCTACAGACTGATCCTTCTCCTCTTTTTTTTAGTTTTTTTTTTTTCTTTTTGTTTTTGAATCCAGTTCATTTAAAGACTTTTTTCACCAAAAAAAACAGTACAATTTTTTTTTTCTGCATTTTAATATTACTCTGAAAGCTTTTTTGGATCAAATTTTATCCCTTCAACTTTATGTAGGCAAACTTATTTATTACTATAAATGAAGCAGGAAATAGCTCTTATTTGATGTCACTCTACATGAATGACCATGTCATAATCACTTATTTGGCAGCTCCTTCTCCTCCCAGGACTGAAGTTTAGAGATGAGTGTGTTAACATTCTTGACTGGAGTCATAACAAATACATGAAGGATCAGATTTTTTTTTTTTGTTTTTGTAATTCAGCAAAAATGATGTGAAGTCAGATCATGGTTTGCAAACCAATGTTTTAGGTTAAATACAGCCTCTCTCAGCTCAACTGCATATAAATACCAGATAGAGATGAAAGGTAATCAGAAGGTGGATTCATATCCCTGTACATAAATAGAAGCAGAGGAAAATCTCATTTGGCATTTTAAATGCTACCAGATGCACTGTTGGAATGGTACATAACCAGGAGTCAAGGTAATGCAGCACCAGAATATAGCACCAAAACAATCTAGAGAATTCTGCCTCAGATGTTGCCGCTTGACAATGTGGACTAAGAAATACATGTGCCAGAATCTGCTCCTCCTGCTGAAAGTAGCTGTGACTTCATCTTACATAATGACTTGTGTAACCTGGGATTTACTGAGAAGGACCAGTCAAGAGCAAAGCATTTAAAGGTCTGAACCTAAGACACACTGTGGAAGAATTTCACTGAAAAGCTGACATTAAACAGACTGCAGAGATAAAAAATGCCCTTTATGAATGGTGTCCTTTCCAGGTGATATATAAAGAGATAGTTATTTTTCAACAGGTCAATGCAGAGTTTAAGAGAAGTTGAGTTAAATGCTCCATCTTGTCTCAATCAATTGATTTTCATTCTTAGAGGTTTATTATAAACTAATAAAACGTATAATGCAAATTTTCAGGTAACTCCTCACATATTTTATTCCTCAGAAAAATAAAATTTGAAAAAATCTGTAACAGACTGTTAATAAAATGTGTCTGTGAGCTCACAAAGTACATTGCACAGTGAAGATGAATAATTATAAAAAAATCAAGCATGTTTTTAAGAATAAATGACAAAACACTGGAAATAGCCTGAACTGAACTACTATAATCTGAAATTCAAGTCTTTAAATAATTATTGTTCTGTAAATGATAAATAATAATGATCCATGCTTTACATATTTATATTTACTGATATTATGAAATGTAATGAATTACATTTACACAGTATAGTATTTTTTTTCAATATTAAGGAATTTTCAATAGTTTCAATATTAATTTTTTCAATACTAAACAGATGTGACAATTATATTAACCAACTTAATAAAGGTTTTTTAGAAGATGATATATGTTGAAATCGGCCATAATAATCAAATAAAGCAAGAAGTCAATTCATCAACTTTACTCCTTACCATTCACAATAACAATTATGTCCCGAAAGTCAATTTCTCCTCTTGCTTCCACTCTTCCTTCACATCTGTAAACTCCTTCATCACTTTTATTGATCTTAAGAATTTGGAGATTATTGTTTGCTAATACTGCAAATCGATCTAGAAAGAAAATAAGAGATCAAATGGCATAAATCAAGTAAATCAAGACAACATGAGGAACACTAACTAAAATTAATAATATTTAAGTACTTTCTCTGTACAAGCAGAATACTCATTGACAAAACATTTGTACACTTCAAAAGAAAATGTAGGCTAAGAAATTTGCGGCTTCTTCATTCCGAAACACATTGAATTTCCTAGAATTCAATCTAGATTTTCCATCCATAATTTCCTACTTGCTCCAAGGAGTAATCAACTGTAAGCTAAATAACAATTTACTGCAAAATGAGTGGAATACTTGTGAGCATTTACACAGAATAACAAAAAGATTAAATGGAAAAAAAAAAGACTCAACAATTAAATTGAGCAAATTTAATAAAATAAAAAACACAATGCTGTTTCCCTCTCTATCTAGACTATCTGTCTTTGTGCCCATTCTACAGCCCAATGTTTAATGATTTTCAGCTTGCTTGCCCTCCTTCCCTCTTCCCGTTTCTTTCTTCCATTCACTCTTGGTCAATGATATATTTCAACACCCTCTAACACTTCACAGAAATCGCTACAAAGACATAACTCAAAAAAAGAAAGCACTCCATCTTCTGCAAAGGCCAGCATAAACAGAAATTCAGTAGACATTTTGAGGAGCTGAAGGACACTGTAAAATCTGGCTCTGAAAGAAAACCATGTACACACTTTTCTGCACATGCAGCAGCAAAATTATAATCTTCAAAAATAAACTGGACCTGAATTTAATTTTTCCTCTCCTTTCTCTCTGAACTAGTGTATTAGGTTTATGTGTTGATCTGTTGGCCTCAAGGATCAGACAAATTCAGCCTGAACTGCAACCCAGAGAAAGGATCCACACTGGAAATGTTACAGACTGACCACAGGCCCCATTCCCAATCTCCCTGCATTCCTTGGGGTGGGCAAGGTAGAGGAGTCAGCAATGAAAGAGTAAAGTTTGGGAAAAAGGAGAGGCAAGATATTGCTTTAATTTTGTCTTTGTGTTTCACCTTTTAATACTATTTAACTTGCAATGAATTTAATTAATTTTCCCCTCCGTCAAACCCATTTTGCTAATGCCAGTGAGTGTTCTCCCTGTCTTAATCTCAACACACTTTTTGTCTCATTTTCTCACATAATCTTGTCTTTAGTTTTTTTGGTAAGACTTTGGGGGGGATACAGAAGTGGCTTCTTTGAGAAGCTTCTAGAAGTTTCACCCATGTCCTAGACAGCCATTGCCTACAGGCTCTAAGAAGGACCTGCCCCTGGCCAAATCAATCAGCAGCTCTGGGATAACTGATGCAAGAAAGGGAAAATTAATGTGCCACAGCAATTGCAGCCAGGGGAGGAGAGAGAGACATGAGCAAAACCATCCTGCAGACACACAGGTCAGTGAAGATGGAGGAAGAGGAGGTGTCAGAGCAGATTCCCTGTCAGGCCATGGTGCACACCATAGAGAGACAGCTGTGCTCCTGCAGGCCATCAGGTCCTCAAGGGAGCAGAGATCCCCCTGTAGCCCCTGGATGGCCTGGTCAGACCAGATGATGCCTGAAAGAGACTGTGACCCTGTGGGAAATCTGTGCTGGAGCAGGCTCCTTGTCAGGACCTGTGAACCCATGGAGAGAGGAAGCTGTGCCAAAGCGGGTTTTGTGCCAGGACTGGGGAACCCATGCTGGAGTGGCTCTTGAAGAACTGCAGGCTGTTGGAAGGATTGCTGAAGTTCATGGAGGTGGCCCCACGCTGGAGCAGGGGAAGAGTATGAATAGTCCTCCCCTGAGGAGGAAGGAGCAGCAGGAGACAATGTTTGGAGTCATGTTAGCCTGAGAATAAAGAAGATGTGGGGGAAAGGTGCAATTTAAGACTATATTTCTAACTATCTTAATCTGATTATGTTGGTAATTATATTTTCCTCGAGTCAAATCTGTTTTGCCCATGATGATGGCAATTGGCAAGTGATTTCTCCACGTCCTTTTCTTGATCCATCACTCCCCCTGAAATAAGCAGGGACATCTTCAACTAGACCAGGCTGCTCAGAGCCCTGTCCAGCCTGGCCTTGAACACTTCCGGGCATGTGACAACCACAGCTTCTCTGGGCTACCTGTGCCAGTGTATCACCACCTTCATCAAAAATGTTTTCTTAATATCTAAATAAAATCATCCATCTTTTAACTTAAAACCATTACCCCTTGTCCTAGCAACAGGCCCTTTTAAAAGTTTTTATCTGGAAATTCAACCCTTACAACAACCTTATAGGGCACAGTTTGATGGCTATTTTTTGTTTTGTTTACACAGTCTCTGCATTTTTCAAGGATGAAATGGTCTGAGCTAAGAGTAGTTCACCATGGGTTAACCCCAAGAAATGTCACAAGTGAAAGGTGAAAAACTTTCTCGAGCCTTTTATTATATTCTCTCTCTTCTCTCCAGTTTCAGAGGAGGTGATTGAGCAGCTTTGGTAACAGCTGGTATCCAGCCACGGTGAACCTCTTGAGGAGGGTGAGAGAAAGGCTGGGTGGGTGCCCGGCAGCTCACCAAGGAAAACCCACCAAAACGAATCAATATTAATGCACTCCTCTGAGGAGAATGCCTTCCTGCAATTCACTGAATGTGGGTTTTGAAGAACATGAAACCCTGTTATTCAGGAATTTTTCTTGCTCTATTTTGCACCTTTCGATGTTGGAGGATGATGAGATTTAGCAGCTTCCATTTTTAACTAGCACACAAATTACTTCTGTACTAGTTGCAAGAATTCTACCATAAAATGAAGAGAGAAATGAAAAAAAAAGAAAATCATGCTTCACCTGGTAGAAGTTTACAGGACATTAACATCATCAACACATTTATGCTAATTATGTCTGGTTTGTTAAAGTCATGCTTGAATGCAGTTCATACATTACCACATACAAAATATATCTTTTCCTGTTCTGCTCCTACACAATTACCTACACAGAACCATGCCTCCAAATGTTTTGAAATGGGGAGATCCAGCCCTTCTTTAAACTTTTAAGCATTGGTAAGCCTGTTTTGGTTCCTTTATTTTTTTTTTTTTTTTTTTACCATAGAGACAGACAATGTGTGAGATGAACAGGGGGGCTGGAGGTGATCTCCATTTTTGTAAAACACTGAAAAAATGAGGGTTCACTTAGTATCAGGAAACAAAAACTAAATGTTGGCTGGATAACTTTACAACTTTCATTGTAGAAAAATGGATACAGCAGTAGACATTCCCATGAGTATACCAGAAGTTCACTGTGCCATGGATATCTTGATAAAATTGTGCCCTTTACTAAACAGATTTGATTTGGCGAATCAGGAAGTAACTGGGAATTACACTACTCCAGATCATCACTGCTTTGTCTGGACTCAACCCCCTCAACTTCAAAGGTCTGATTTAGAAGAACAGTCAGTTGCATGACCTCCCCCTTCAGTCATATCACATGTTAAGTGATGTAGCTGACAAGAACGGCTTATGTCTTTTCAGTGCCATTCAACCCAATCTGGAGGAATTTTTGGCTCAGTTCGCAAATTTTGCTGTGTATGTACCAGGTTTTGAGCCAGAATGTCCAATAAAATAACTGTCTAATAGTAGGACATTACTAAAGAGCTGTTGAATAAAATATCGAAAAAATGTTGAAGACCAAGACTTTTATTAAACATTTTTCTCATAAAACTGGCCATTCTTTTGTAATATCTTCTAAACACAAAATAAACACAGCATGCTAACTATCTTAAAGCAAGCAATCACCTTTGCACGTTAGTTAATACAAACGTATTTTAATGTTAGTTAATAAATGTATTTTATTGGCCTACATGGGCTCTGCAGGGCAATGACACCAAATCTCCAGTACTGCAATTAGAACTGGACAAGCTACTGATTTGAAGTGGAAAAGAAATATCAGAGACTATGCTACCCTGAGGAAGCAGCAGGACTGTATTGCCACAGCCTGCCCAATATGATCTAGAGGGCAAATCTGGCTCATTAGAGGCCTGCCTTAAGTCATCTTTCAGAATAAGAGAGAATTTGATCATCCACTGTAGATTTTGAAACTGGAATTATAGTATAAAACAGAGTAATTTTTATTTTACTAGACATGAAAAAAATTCTTAACTGTAAGACAGTGGGCATGCTGTTTTTCACCTCTATTGTAAACCCATATAAACAAAACCCACAAAGCTTACGGTGTCCTATTTTTATGTGATTTAAAACTGCTACCTCCCAGACAGAACTGGAATTGTATTTGGGTGCTGTTCTAGATGAGAACATAAGGAAAGTATTCTACTATTTAAAACTTGTTTCTATCATTGTACCTTTTAGCACTGTGAAAGAAAATGGTTAAAAAAATAGAAGTTTATGCATTAAATTTTTAAAAACTCCATTTTCAAAGTGCATGATTTTGAAGGAGAAAGGAAATGTTGCTTCATCTGCTTTCCTAACCCTACAGGTTGATTGAAAAGTAAAATGGTGATAAAAACTTTGAGAGAGATCTTTGAAGAAGTTCTACTTTTTCAAGCTCTATCATCCTCAAATGACTTTTTCCTAGATTGCTAATTCTTGTTTTATTTTCAGTGTTCTTATTTTTGAAATTTTTTTATGTTCAATTATATATATAGATATAAATAAATTGCAACTATTTTCTTCTAAGTGTAGAAGTTTGCTGTTTCCTTTTAGTCTCCATGTCTAGATGACAGAAGAAATAAGATATGCTAAATAAGAAAGAAGTTTAATCAAAACTTTCTTTCCCAATGGAGAGGAACCAAAGACTGTGTCCAGAAATATCAACCAAGCTTTTTTTTCCACTCCCCTAATAACTGTTCCACATTTGCTTATTTGACTTCATAAAGCCCCTAACAAAATTTTAATTTTAATTTTGAAATAAAAATAAAAATTAATTTTAAAAGAAAAAGAATTTTAAATATGTACTGCTACCCTGAGTTTCATTAAATGCAAAGAGAAAAACTGATGGGAAGTTAGAAAAGCTGATTAATTAACAATGTTAGTTCCATTTCCAGAAAATGTAAAAAAGTCCTCTTTTGGCAAAGATGACTATTGAGAGAAAACTGAAAAAAAATAATTCAAAGTTTTTGTAGGTGTAAGTAAAAAAATACTATTTGGCTAAGTAATTGCCTCTCTAGAGACTTAAAACTTGCATGTGAGGAAGGTGAGATTTGTCTAAATCCAAGCTTTATCAGTCCAGCCTCAGCAGATTACTTATATCCCAGTTAGTTGTAACTCAGAGGGCATCTTACCCTTATACAAGCAAACTCTCACAAAAATGCAAAATGCCTCTCCACCTGGAATTCTCTGAGCAACTGTGCAAGTATCCCAAAGTCAGGGCTGTGTAGGGCCAGTATCACAGCTTGGTCTGCAGTGAAGTTCATCTCTGTGTGTTTTAAACATGTTCAACTCCTACAGAAAAGATGTAGCAGGAAGTGATCCTGTGAGGGAGCTCCCAGCAGTCTTTTGTGCATTTGGACACTCATGTTACACCTAGGCAAAATTCCCAATTGGAAAAAAAGACACATGGGGAAAACCATTGTATGCAGATTCCCTGCAGATCACAGAACCTAGTAAAATTACATTCAAGCTGACGGGCTAATCAAAATCCCCCGCTAAAATCCACCACAAAGTCCACTAGAACTTTAAAAAGACCTTTTTTTAAATAATGTTTTAATATTAATTGGAATGTATAACTTAAAGAGTTACCAAAATACTAACTGTCAGCAATAGTTGTGACTTCCTCATTTCGATACAACCAGCTGACAACGGGAGCAGGTGAACTTGTAACACGGCAAACAACTTCTGCATCTTCCCCCTGCCTGAACTCTTGTGGAGATACTATGTCCCGAAAAGTGAGCTTTTCTGAAGAGAAAAAAAAAAAAGAAAACAGAATACAGTAAGAGTCTTACACTTAACATAGCATTAAAATGATATGCAGTAGCAATTAAGACAAACACCACTATTAAATTTTCTTATTGTGATAACACAGAATTATTTCCATAACACAATTTTCCACATAAGACTCAAATCATCCTGGACTCTGCCTGTAAAAATTACTTTACAATCCTTTCGTATTCTGCAAAATTTTGTTTATGTACATTCTTCAGGTTTTATAACCATATTTTCATTGTTTTCAATGTTCCAAAACACAGTTTTTAAACTCTAGGTCCTAGAATTTTATATATTCACATTGATAGTTTACTTACTCTCTTATGGATTTTTTTCCTCATTATTCTGTTATTGAATTAAAACCTCATGTTTTTATTCTATTCAATCTTCCATAAAAACCATTAAAATTTGGAAAATTCTCACGGGAGAAGTGGAATTTTTGATTCACTGTGAAAAACAGCAGCTGAGTAAAATACAACATTAACAAGTCAATGAGAAACTATTAGGTCTATTATGACTATTAGGTCATAAGAAATTGTATCATTTTTAGGAACTAACAAGATTGTTTTAGGTCTGCTGAGGCTTTTAATTTTTCCAAGCTCAAATAACCAAATGATATTTGATTTTCCACATGTGTGAAATAAGTCCAGTATTTTTAGAAGTCCAAGATGCTACTAATCCTTGATCTCATATTAAGATCTACTACAGTTGACCAACACACACAGAAAAAAAAAAAAAAAAAAAAAAAAAAAAAAGGAAGAATTCTTGCACACAGAATAAACAAACCAATCTATGCTCTCTTAGGTCAAAGATGGCAAATTACATTTCAGAGTAAACTTTGGGGAGCTTATGACAGAGATGCAGCTTCATCTCTGCTTTTTTGTATTGATATGAGTGCAGGCTCAAATAACCCACACACTTCCCACAGCAGAGGGTGAACAGTTGTTGTTATGCCTTTCATACATTTTTGTGTGAAGTCAGAAGTAAACCTCTCACAGACATCTGAGAGTCCTAAAAACCAGATCCTAAGACTATCAACAAGTAATCCTCCTTTCTTCTTACATCACAAATATGAATAAGGAAATTTTACGTGTCTGTTCCCACAAACCTTAATATTACTTGTGTAGGTTTGCAGGTTTGTCTGACCTCAGAATTATTAAAATTAACACATGCAAATGCTTCTAAAGTTTTCTACTTTTCTCAGCATTCTGCAAATGGAGTAACTGACAGTTTTATGCATACAAATGAATTCCTGAAAATTGAAATCCTTTGACTTGTGAGATTTCAAGCCCCATGTAATCACTTCTAACTGCTGCCACCCTTTTATCGGTTGTTTTACCAGAAGATTTTTTTTTAATCTTCTTTTTTTAATCTGTCTTTTGTTGTCTGAGTTATCTGTACCTCTCGGAAGCAGTGCTTTACCATTCTACTTTGTAGTTTTTGTCTCACTGTAATTCCTTCACATTTAAAAAAACTGTTCTCCAATGAACTTAGGTCCTAACTCAGCTGATGGGCTGCTGGCATATGCCCCATCTTTCACCAACAAAGAACTTGCCTTTCATCTTCACTGTGCTTGTTTAATGCACAGGTTTTAGGTATTTTTGATCTAAAGAATGTGATACAATGTAGCTATTCAACACTGAGAAAAAAGGTACTCAAATCTCTCAGTAAATCTCATACTACAAAAGAATGCATTTATTTTTGAAATATACTCCTCAAGTCGTTGCTTGCAATTGAAATCCATTTTGGTTACTTATCACACTGAGCTTCAATGGCTTATGTCAAAACTCATTCATAAGGCCAAGAATAGGAAAAGACAGAGATTAAAATAACAATTCAGTAAAAAATCCACTTTTTAAATGTCATATATTTCACTTCCTGCACTTTTATCTATGCACATATTTGTAATATTTCATAATTTTTAAACTATACACACACTTGTAATACAAATTATACTGATGTATTTTTTTTCCTCCTATTTTCTAATTTCTTTGAGGGGCAGACAGTGCCCCCTCATTAGATGGCATTATAAAATATAGGAGGAAAGCAATCTACAATACTTATAAGTGGCCCTCCAATTAATTCAAATCTTTGTCATAATGTCGACTTACTAAACTGCATGAGATGCAATTATTTGGAAGATAAAGGTCAGAGCTCGGGATGATATTTTGAGAGGCTTTACTTTCTCTGTGCTAGTGTACTTTAAAACACAGTATTTTATTTGTTAACTGATAGTATTTTACTTACGATAAATCTCCAAAACTACAGTAGCTTCTTGAGTTTGTCCTTTAGCATCTGTTGCTTGACAGCGGTATATACCAGCATCTTCGATGTTTGCGTTGTAAATAGTAAGGCGTGAGCGGACGCCTTCCTTCTGAACAACCACCCTCTGACCAGAAACTATCTTCTCTCCTTGTGGGTTGTACCAATCTATGTTCTCAGGCTCACCAATGGCTACAAACAAAACCAAAACCAACACAAATTTAGACATTTAGAAGGACATAGTGAAATGTGTATGCCTACTCAATGCACAGTCTATGCAGCGTCAGGAATTTAAACTGAATTCAGGAAGAATTTTTCCATGGAAAGGGTTGTCAAGCACTGGCCCAGGAAGATGGTGGAATGACCCTGGAGGTGTTCAAGGGATGACTGGATATGACACTCAGTGCCGAGCTCTAGTTAACAACATGGTGATCAGTCAAAACTTAGACTTACAGTCTTGGAGGTCTTTTCCACCTAAGTGATTCTGTGATTCTGCAATGTCAGCTAATTGCAAAATTGTGCGAATTGTAAGAAAGACAAGTAGCACAAAACTGCATGAAGATGTACAATCTTTGAGACAGGGTAAATAGCAGCTAAAGGATCTCAAGAGGGAGAAAAAAACACAGGCAAGTATAAAGTCTTATAGGAAAGAAACAGGCTGTCAGTGACTGGATCAACAGGTCAAGCCATCAGGTAATTGCACTGTCAGTGTAGTCAGGCCATGTGCCACTGTCAGTGGAAGATCTCAACTCAGCACCACGAAGGATCCGTATCAATCAGCTGCAAATGCAAATTCTTATCCTCCTGACTCATTACTGCCTCACCAGAAAAAAAATCTCCTTGGCTATCCCATTAGGTTGGAGAGGATTTAATTCCTTATTTAAAATAAGTGACAATATTTTAACTACAAAAGCATCCTGACAGATATAAACTACCTGTACTGATATAGAGAATTCAAACTGATTCCGTGTGTGAAATGAAGAGATCCTAGACTGAAAATGTGAGCCAGTGAAGTCCTAGTATTTGCCACAGTTCTCACAAGTCAACATGAATGTACAGCAATATGTTAATTTAATTTTGTGAAACAACTACTTCAGTTAAAATACATTAAAAAAAATCAAAATTTAACAAAAATTATATACCAACAAACAAAATTAATACATACCTGTGCATGTGAAGAACTTGGATTCACCCACACTGAGCTCAACTTTGCTAAGTGAAATTGTTACTTGAAGTAAAGCTGAAAAATATAAAGTAGATTGTAAATTAATTTGGGAATTTATCAGTTTACATCTTATATTGTCAGGTTTTACATTGTTTTCATTCTCTATATTGAACCTGTTCTAAAAGTATGAAATTTTAACTAAACATTGTTATGTTTTGAACTGAAGTACATATTGAGATAGACAAAACAATCTAAATAAGGATATCGCACAATGATGACAGCCTTATGTCCCAAACCTGAGGACAAAATTAAAGAAGGGGGAAAAAAAAAGAAAATGTGATAGAAATATACATTAATATAAAACTAGAAATTAAAGGAGAAAAAGATGATTTGCAACACACAGATCAAGGGTAAATCATGTCTGACTAACTCCACCATCTTCTAGGATAAAACTATAAGTTTTGTGTACAACAGAAGGACAGTGGGTGGCAACTACCTTGACTCTATCAAGGCTTTTGGCTTTTCCTCCCACAATAATCTCATATTTGAGTGTATTTGATATAAAAAGCAAGGCTTTTTAATTGAGTCTGGTTGCAGGGGAGGGAGTTCAGAGATTGTGCTGTGACAGATACAGGCAGTTCTAGCTGGGTCATGATGGAGCCACTGCAGGACACAACTGAGAGGGCTGAAGGAGTTTGTAGCACCTCTTATAACACCAAAGAGAGAGACAAGAAGGCCAAAGTGGTAAGAGGTGCTCCATGGCACAATTGGCAACACTGCAGGACTCTGGCCAATGCATGAGCTCATGAAAGAGCAAACACATCTGAAAGGACTATGGATAACCCACAATAGAAAAGAGGAAATGAGTTAGGCAGAAGGAGCAGCAGAAGAAAAGAGTGAAAAAGAAGGAATGACAGAAAAGAATCACTATGTCCTCACCCCAACTTACTGCATTATCCATCACCTCACTGAATGGACTGTTACTTGCATGGATGGTGATAATAATGGGTGTAAAAGCCAGGAATAGGAGGGAGTGGTATCTGGAGTTTGGGAAAGAGGCAGAAAGGTGTCTTCCCTAAGTCTCTAGCTTTTTTTATGTGACAAATTTTACCCATGAATATAAGTTCAAAACTTACTAAAACCCACAGCTATACAGTTCTGTTGACATTAAAAATTCAAGACAAGCTGAGCACAAAAAAACTATCAGCAAAGCACTATCCATAGATATTAACATCAGAACTATTACAATTAAGAGAAAAGTGCAATAAAATAGATTTGTGATTAACTTCTATGTAATTAACCTAAATAAGCAATTAGACAAGATGTGAACTTTTGGTTCTAATAGTCATATCAAAAGCTACACCAAAAAAGGCAAAGAAAAGTGAAGATTCCTTCAGTATCAGTCTGCCAATCTAAATTAAACAGAACTGGGTATTTTCCACAGAAATTCCCCACAAACAAAGAAAATTAAATATCAAATTCCTGTACAGCACATAACATTTTTCATGAGATTTCCTGAATTTTGAATGCTTTTCCTAAGAAGATCATCACAACTGTTTTTTGTTTTTTCTTTTTTAGTGAATATTAATATCTTATACCCTGCTCCCATAAGAAAATAGCTAAGAATTAAAAAAAAAAAAAAACACCACAGTAAAAAGCCACAAAGACACAAAGAACATATCCTGCCTCAGGCAAAGGTAAATATCTGCATGCACTCTACTAAAATAAAAAAATCTCAGTCCTTAAAGGCAACCAGGAAGACGGCAAGACTGTCTAGTCCAGAAAGAAGCTGAAAGGGACTGTAAAATTGTTGAATCTAGTAGTAGACAGGGGGGAGTACTGGAATTTCCAATGCAACAGTGAGGAGCATGATGAAGGCTCCTTTAGGACACACAGAGCTTAAGAGTTGGCTTGTTCTCATCTCTGGTCTTTACACCCATGGTACCAAAACCAAAAGCAAAACTTACGTGTAAGACAGGAAATGAGTTTAACAGAAATTTTTACATTTTGTTGTAATGAGAATCAAGAGTAATCAATCATCCAGGAGGCTACTGCAAGCCTCGTTTCTTTATTTACCTGTCAGGTAAAGCTTTACTATAGCCTCAAGACCTATAATTGCTGGTGGAAAACAAGGCACTAATAAATACAGCCATGGGGGAACTTGAAGAGCTTGGATATTTATTTCATGTCACAGTCTACATCACAATTTTTCTGATACCATATTCTTTTCAAGAGCAGTCTTGTACATTTGCTCCAGAAATATATATGTTAGCAGTGAAATATATATGAAATATATATTTCAGCAGGGTTGCTTCAAGGATAATTGCATTTCTTAATTCCAATAACTGATGTCGAACTATATAAATGCAATAGATGAGGTAATACATGTCAGGTAGAATGTAAGCAGTGGCATGATGAGCAGTGTAAAAGTAAGAATATTTTTCCTTCATAAATAAATAGATATTTGAGATTTTAACACAGTTTTGGCAGAGGGCTCAAATCCATTTAAATTTCTTAGCATGAGTGTAACTACATAAACTCTATGGAGATGCTAGCTACATCTCTGAAAACAAAAGGAAATATTTTTTCTACATATGGTACTTTAATATTCACAACATAGAAAAAATATAAAACCATCTGTCCCATTTTCCCAGCCTCACCATTTTCTTAGCTCTGCTTGATGTAAATAAAAAAATATTGCTTCATGCATGCAATCTAGAAGTAAAAATATTGCTCAAGTTATTAATCTAGAAATCTCTGATTTTTAGTAGGCAGGCAAATGAAGCTAGGAGAATACTCACTTGTTACTTACTGGAAGCAAAATATTGCAAAGAGACAACACATTCAGAAAATTTCACTGTACTTCCAAATCTGTCTCAAGAGCTGCACATAGTATAAGCTCTGATGAAGATGGCAGAAGTGTAGTCACAACTCAAATTATTACTGTACACTAACTAATGGATTAATAAAAAATTGAGTTCCTTCCATCAGGCTGTTGAGAATCTCTTTGAATACACAGGCATATGTTTATTTTATCAGATCAGTGGAGATATTGCAAATACTTAGTAGAGGTACTACCTATGGTAAACTACACCCAGAAATAAATAACACCTTCTTGATAGACCTGGAAAAGTACACTCTCTTCCCATGTTTCCAAGAATATCACCTAAATAGCTATTCAGAAAAAAAAAAAAAAAAAAGGAAAAAAGACAAGATGTAAAAGATGTAAAAGATCTATTCGAGTAGAAGTCTGGGGGGGAGTGTAATGCTAGTGTAGTACAGCTGTTCTGGGAAAAAGGGAATTCATTCGGGGTTTCCCTCAGTCTTTGGTACATGTCCAATTTCATAGCAAAATAAAAGAGCACTACTAGAACTAGGTGATACAACCAATCACTTCCCTTTTGATCAGAGTCATTATAAAGGAATCATTACCAGTTGTAATACACTAAGAGGATTCTACTGAATTATTCCTTAATGGTTTTAAAAATCACCAAGGAAGATAAGTAAGAACAGTAATGAGAGGTCCATTTGTACTGCTAAATATGGAGACAGATGACTGCATTCATAAGGACTAATATTTAGCAGACTAATTGATTTCAGTCCCATTAGCAGCAGTAGCCTTCGGGTTTCAGAACTAACATCACAAATCTGCCATAAGTGTCTGTGCAGATGCAACAGAAGTGAGGTGCCACCACTGAGAGATAACAAAAATTGTAGCAATAAGTCATTCACACATGTACTTCTACTGTCCGTCAGCAATATATTACACCTCGTTGAAACTGTATACTATACAAATGTACATTTAAATATATAAATATAAAAGATATACAAGGTACTAAAAAGGTAAAGGGGAGGATATTTTAATAAAATCTGAAGAAAATATTGATTAAAGCTCTGCTTCAACTAATAAACCCATCCAACATCTTCTTGATAATTCCGTTTCTTAAAAAATAAAATAAAAAAAAATAATAAATCACCCCCCCCCCCCAAGCACTAATAAAATGTGAAAAAACTTCCTTTTGTCTGCATCGGAAAGACAACACCACAAAAACATATAACATTTTGTTATAGTTTCCACAATATAAATTGCATACAACATATTTGAAGTTTCATGCTACATCAATACATCTGAATAACTTTTTGAATTTACTTTTGAACCATTGGATGTCACTCAGCTGTAGAGGGGTCTTTCTAAACCTGTTGGACTGCAAATTCTCTGAAAAGGAGAGGCTAATGGGAAGGCAGTAAAAAGGACTGGATGCAGCTCTGAAGACAAAGCAAGGCATAACTTGGGATCAACATGGAGCTAAGGGAAACAGTGACAGCTACAGACACTCATCTGGATAGCTTTGGCACTGGCTTCTAAGAAAAACAGACTGCAAGACTCAGCTGAAAGGACTGTTTTCTTTGGGAAGGTCCAAATTCTGTTTAGCATAGGTCCTCTGACAAAAACTACACCCTTGGCTTTTGGTGTCCTTTGACTTCATTCAGTAAGCAAGCTTACTTGGGTGATGTGGTTTTGTTTTCAGTAAAGGACTTAACTTCTATTTAATATATGCTTAGAAAACTAGGCTTCATTATCCTTGAGCATGAAGAAATTAGTATGTTTTTAACAGGTATCAAATTCAATCCCAGAGCAACCACTCACCCAGTTAATCTTTCTACCCTTTATTATGCAGAATTCCAAGAATATTATGTTTAAATACACTGATGCCCAGATCGAAGTGAATATGTTTTGAGTGAAAATTACACAATTCTTGAAGAAATTGATTCTCCGTTAAATACACTTATAATTTAAATATACTTTGAAACACCATTAAAAAGACACTTTGTGGGTTTTTAAAATTAATATGCTATTTTAGAGCGTTTTGGACCTCTAAGCTGAAATGAGGAAACATAAACTAGTAAATATACAATGAACTTATCAGACAGTTCAAGGAAATTTTATTTTAGGGCAAATGCTAGAGTTCTTTTTAAAAATATGAATAATTTAAACTTTCTTAACTACTAGTTCATCAAAGTAAGAAATATAAATCCAAAAAGTCATTAAACAAGCCATAAAGTTACATTTCCAT